CCTGAGGCACCAACTAAATGTAGGTGAACCTTTTATCAGAACCACCTGACAATGTCTTATCTCTTTTCCCCTGTTGGTCTGTTGGTTTCACTTTTCTCCTATGGGACTGAGTCAGAGCTTCTAATGTTACACTGTTGAGGTGACAAGCTACATTTCATTACAAAATGGCCCTGATCAATCTTCCATTTCCTCTCTCCTCCCTCAGCAAAGAAAACAAGGAATTTGTCAAGCATGGCCCAGTCCAAGGGGACAGAGAGCAATCCAATCAGACCTTCAGTTATTCTGAAATGGAATTGCCTTCTTGCTTGACAACTGTGACTAATTCCAAAGGCTCAACTAGCCTCTCTCTAGTAATGATGATTCTGGGGTCAATTACCATTTGGGGGCAGATGGGAATCTGATCTGAAGCTGAAAAATTCCATCCATGGGGCTAATCCCCTGCACTTTCCAAGCCTAAATAGGCAAGTTTCAGAAAAGAGCATCTTTCATATTATAACCTACTTGAATATTGTCTATAATGATTTTCCCCAGTCAAAACATTAATTAAACTCCTGCTCTAATGGTCTGAACACAAGAGCCAGTGAAAGGAAGGGGTTTGGGCAGCTGCCAAGGCTCCATCTGAGGCTCTTGGAGTTAATATTTTCCAAGGTGTTTTCAGCATTTGAAATAACCAGGGCTTCTAACGAGTTCATTCCAGTTTGACCCCCTACTGAGAATTTGCATTTCTACCCCAGATGTAACTCACTGCTGTGGAGTAGAACCCAACTCAGAGCGACCCCTCCTTGGGTTTCCTGAGGCAGTATCACTACGGAAGTAGATTGCCCAACCTTCCTTCCGAGGAGTGGCTGGTGGGTTTGAACCACTAGTCTTCTGGTTAGCAGTCAAGTGCCTTAGGCACTATGCTACCAGAGCTCCTACCCCAGATTTACTCAATCAGAATCTAGAGTTTAACAGGATCCCCAGGCTGATTCTTACTTGATGAAACCAAAAATTCCAAACTCGCTAATTATCAGTCGCTTCTGACTCATAGCGACCCCTCCTTGGGTTTCTGAGGTGGTATGTCTATGGAAGTAGATTGACCCATCTTCCTTCTGAGGAGTGGCTGGTGGGTTTGAACCGCCAGCCTTCTGGTTAGCAGTCAATTCCTTAGGCACTATGCCACCAAACTCCTCATGTGGTGACAGCCATGTGAAATTGTTCACTACAGATGAGTAAGTAAGCACAGGTAAGTCTGTGCTTGCCTTGGTTACTGGATAATAAACTCTTGTGTCAGTGGCTCTGCTAAGACTATTTGACTGTTCAATGATTTTAGGTGGGATGGAATACGGATAGAGACTGAGAATCTCCTAAGGCATTTCTAGGTAATATGATGATCTTGCCCTTTTCTTTGGGTCCAAGATATACTTACTTGGTAAGTCCTCCTTTAGATATAAATACATAAGGTTCTGTACCACATAAAATGAATCAATTCTTCACAATTTAGGTTGCAAACTGGCACCCACAGGACTAGTCTGGCTGCAGAAGAAATTTATTAGGTCTATTTGGTGTTACTGCTGTTGTTCTTTTAATCTGAATTGTGTATCAACATTACGAACTCAGGCAACTTCAAATGAAAATGCAAATATCCAGCTATTCTTGGAAACTAGATGACTGACAGCAACTCTAAGCATACATTTCAGCATGGCAGCCCCTTCCACCACTCACACCCAGCCTGCTTCTTCCACCACTCACACCCAGCCTGCTTCACTCATTAACACTTACTGCCTGGCCTGTCACACAATCATCTTTGCTTTTCCTAGCATGCAGCCTGCAGGTTAACTCTTTTAGGAGAACTATAGCCAATGGTGGGAGCTCTGGTAGCATAGTGCCTAAGACACTTGACTGCTAACCAGAAGGCTGGCGGTTCAAACCCACCAGCCACTCCTCATAAGGAAGGTTAGGCAATCTACTTCCATAGTGATACCGCCTCAGAAACCCAGGGAGGGGTCACTATGAGTCACATAACACATAACAACAATAGTCCTGTCTATCAACTTCCTGAAGTTTCAAAATAGAGTGTACCATGTTTACAAGTTTTTTTCAAAATACTCATTTCACTAAGTCAACTATGGATTTTACCACATGAAAAAGATTCTATTTATAGCTTGAAAACTAAGGAGAAAACCTAATCTGTTTTTAAAGTTTAGTGAGATGACTAAAATCCTGAGATTCTCACACATGAAAGGCCCATGACATTCAATCAATAGTGTAATTCTCTGTAAGGGCAGTCTCTGAAAAATAAGATTCACCAATACACTGTTTAAAGGCACTAACTCACCACACCCTTAGTAAAATAAACGGCATCTTCCAATTCTTTTTTCCTGAAGAAACAAGGAAAATGGAATTGGTTTGTTAAAAATGAAAAAGGAAGGGGTTGAGGAAAAAAAAAAACACACAAAGTTTAAGACATCTATGTAATTTGATTATTTTCCAAAAAGAAAATGATGTCACCCTTGATCACTGACAATGGACTTAACCATGTAAATAATTGTGAAGACAGTACAGGACCAGTCAACACTGTTTTACTGTACATGGGGTCACCATGAGTGGGGACGAACTCAATGGCAACCAGCAACAACAATAGATGGCAACATGCACTATTACAAAGTGTAGTGACTGTAAGTGTCTATAGTTTGGTATACTCCTTAGTAATCTAGAAATGTGCTCCTTAAATGAAGGGCTTATTGGGATCTCATTTTAAATGCTTTCTAACATTGTGCTGTGGCTAAAAAATACAAGTATAAAGACTCTGTCAAAACTTGCACAAAAATATTTATACCACAACATTAATTAACAAGAGAGGAATTCAAAACACATATACTATAAATATAACTGTAAAAAATATAGGCAGGTGGGAGGTAAGAAGTAAAAACAAAAACTGCACTACACAGTGGTGACTTTAAAAATGAAATAGCTTATTTTTCATATTCGCTTTTCAATGAAGAAAATGGTTTTTGTTTTGTTTTGGTTTTGCCTGAAATTATTTGGTGAAAGCAACCTTTCATAGCCACAAAGTGACAGGTCAGCAAGTGCAGCCAGTGCACCCCAGCAGCATGATTGTTCAAGACACGTTTTCATGTGTTAGGAACCAAAAAACAAACCCACTGCCATAAAGTTGATTCCAACTCACAGCAACCCTATAGGACAAAGTAGAACCGCCCCATAGAGTTTCCAAGGCTGTTATTTTTACAGAAGCAGAGTGCCTCTTCTTTCTCCCACAGACACACTAGTGGGCTTAAACTGCCAACATTTTGGTTAGCAGCATGTGTTAGGAGGCTAGGCATAAAACAGCAACTAAGTGGTGGTTCAATACTTACGAATATCATTTCACTTATGTTTTGAACAACTGACATAAGAACTAGCCATTTCTTCCAAGTGACATGCTGGAAGGGTCTTGGGAGTCCTGCAGAACTAGAGAATCAAGATGGGATCCTGACGACTAGGACCTGACAGTGAAAACCATTGCTCTGAAGCAAGGTAACTGCAAGCCTGTTTGGCTGGCATGTGATACAGCTATCAGGTTTTACAGACCATCAACTGAGGTAACCCCCTTGGCTCTGCATCAGCTACTATGGCAGGAAGAAGTGAAGCCATAATAAGGTTCCTGGCAGAGTAGTAGAGCTTTTTTTTGGGAGGGGGGGGATCTGTAAACTTCTCATATACCAACAATACCAACCAGCTGTTGCTGTGTGCCATCAAGTTGATTCTGACTTGAAGCAACCCCACATGAGAGCACAACTGCCTGACAGGGTTTCCTATATTGTCATCTTTGCAGAGGCAGATCACCAGGTCTTTCTCTCCTGGAGTCACTGGCTGGCTTCAAACTGCCAGTCTTTTGGTTAACAGCTAAGTAATTAACCACCAGGAATCTTTATCAACCAGCTAATGGACATGAAAGTTTCCTAGCAAACAAAACATACAAAAATCAGTTGTTTCTTTAAAAGAAAGCACAATGAGAAGGAAACAGAAAAGGAACCAATGAGAGTAGCAGTTAGCAGATACCAGTTTATTAAACATAGTGCATGATTCAAAAGCATCTGATATTTCACAGCCAACAAGATTTCCTACTTCTTCATTACAAAATACTGGATACCCTGAATATAGTTCATTCAAGGTCCCTCATCCTTTTTGTCTACATTTAGAATTAAACGGGTTTCCCCGTTTAGCACCCATTTCACATTCACTGAAGGCTTTGGGAAGAAGGGGTAATAGGGCTTGTAACTGCCCCTCTGAACCAAAGGCACTTAATGTTCAAAGATAAAGCACGGGAGAGTCACCCCACAGACATTCCTGCATGTTCAGATTACTAAACATTAGCATGCCATCACTGGCCCACGTGGGATTCATCATAATAATGTAAAAGACACTGATTTCCTAGGAAAAACAAAGTGCAGTATGAATATAAAAGACTCATCACCCCAACCCTTTTCTGAAAATAATACATAAGAGAACTCTTATCTTACATGATTAGGATTACCCAACCCAAGGTGCACATATGGAAAAAAAAAATAGTTAAAAAAATCTGTCATATATTCTCACTATGAAATCATCACAATAGAATCTGATATCACTCCTAGGATTTTTGAATTGGAGAGAACCTCAGAAATCATGTTGTCCATCCCCTCAACTGATAATAAGGGCACTGAGGCCCAGGAAGGTCAGGTATGGGAATCCAGGATCTAAACCCTGAAGCAGATCCTGGGTAGAACGTGGCCCCCTGAAGCCCAGTTCTCTCCGGGTTCTCTCTGCCTCCCAATCCTCTTTAAGAAGACCCTAAAAAGTAAAACATGGCAATGATCTCCATAGACAATAAAGCATGGCACTGACACTAATCAGTGATTTGGTCTTGCGAGACGATTCCTTTGGCCATTGGGCAGGTGTGTAGCCCACCTCAGGGCGGGAATTCCTTTGCATGAGATCATGCAAAGTTCTGAGGCAAGCTGAATGCAGGCTGGACCCCACTTCTTCTGGGATTTAGGAAAGGCTCCTCCTGGCTATTAGCCCATGGTGGGCAGGAGGTCTGCCGCACAGCGGAATCCCAGATTCGAAGCAGAGCTGTCCGGTGTGTTCTGGCTCCGAGCAGCACAGCGATACCTATAGCAGTAGGACTGTACAGAGAATAAAAAGGAAGGTAAGTTCTAGTTGGTTGAAGGCTCTAATCTGTCAGATGAATGTTCTACAAAAATAACCGCTGTAGAGAAGTTACAGAGCGCTAGAGTCAATGCTCCTCTCCAAACACCCACACACATTCACTTAACATGTATATACTGAAAAGGGAAGTATAGAATCAACCATATATTATCCAACATACTTTACCTTATAAGCACAACACAGGTATATACAGAGATGTTGTGACCATTACTTATAACAGTGAAAAACAAAACTTTTAACAACCAATGGTTATACAGTACGGCACATCCATGTGATAATATTCTAAGTTGAGCAGACTCATGGAGACCCCATGTGTGTCACAGTAGAACTGTGCTCCATAAGATTTTCAATGGCTAATTTATCAGAAGGAACTCTGGTGGCTTGGTGCCTAAGACACTTGACTGCTAACCAGAAGAATGGAGGTTCAAACCCACTAGCCACTCCTCAGAAGGAAGGTTGGGCAATCTACTTCCGTAGTGATACTGCCTCGGCAACCCAAGGAGGGGTCACTATGAGTCGGGGCCGACTAGATGGCACATCACAACAACAAACAACAATTTATCAGAAGTAGATCACCAGGCTTTTCTTCTAAGGCACCTCTGAGTGGACTCCAACTTCCAACCTTTTGGTTAGCAGCAAGTACATTAACCATTTGTAGGACATGGGGACATTAAAAATTATGTTTTCATGTGTTGTTAGTTGTTGTTATGTGCTGTCGAGTCAAACCCGACTCATAGCGACACTTCCTTGGGTTTCCGAGGCAGTATCACTACAGAAGTAGGATTGCCCAACCTTCCTTCCGAGGAGTGGCTGGTGGGTTTGAACCACCAGCCGTCTGGTTAGCAGGCAAGTGTCTTAGCCACTATGCTACCAGAGCTCCCATGTTTTCATCTAGTCTTTTATATTCTTGGCATATATAATTATCTAGATTGAGATCACACTGTGTGCACAGTTTTTCATTTAACATTTTATTATGAGAATTCCCTATGTTATTAGTATTTAGTAACATAGGGGCTTCTCATAATACATATTATTTATATATTAGTAGTTAATAACAGGGAATTCTCATAATATATATTATTATTTATATATTAGTATTTCATAACACAGGGAATTCTCATAATAAAAGGTTAAGTGAAAAACTGTGCGCACAGTGTGATCTCATTCTAGATAATTATGTATGCCAAGAATATAAAAGACTGGAAGACTCAGAATGTACCACAATGTTAATGGTTGTTATCCTCAGGTAATGAGGTTACAAAATTTCCTACAATAAGTATTTTGTTACTTTTACCATTTAAAAAGTTACTGTTACATTTAGAGTGATAGTGACATTAAAACCAAGTAATAAAGATAAATATCAATCGAGATATTATGAGATATTATGAAGAAAAACATTATGATACCATTTCATATCCAGCAGATTGGCAAGTCAAGTAGCAAGTGTGGACAAGGCTGTGGGCCAACAGAAGCACTTAACATTACTTTTGGAGTTCAAATAATAATTCAAAAGCTATCCATCTTTGTGATGTGTTTTGTATTTGTGTTTTACTTTATATTAGCAGGGTAAAGACACTGAGCACCTGCTACACACCAGACATGGTACTAGGGTGCTTTCATCTTGTTATTTCATCTGGTCATAACAGCCAAAGAAATTAAGGAAGTTACTCAAGATCATATAGTTGTTAAAGTAAGCAGGAATCCAACCAAGACCCTCTGATTCTAACTATGATGCACTTGTTCCCCTAGTAAGAAGCTATGCTCTCAAAGGAAAGGGAACCACATCTTGTGTCTTCTGTACCATCTCCACCTTACATATTCATCATGTGTGCACACACACACACTCACACAAACATATAAAAAAGTCCAACAAATATCCCACAACACCTAAAAGTATTCAGTGCAGAACCACAGATTACTTGACTCAAATACATAAAAGCTTCCAGATTCCAAAAATAGCCATGCACAGAAACTTCATGTCCTTGAGATTGTTCTTTGATCCAAAATAACAGAGAATGAAAATAAACCATTTGCCCGGTGTACCAGGAGTATTAACCCTGACTTAGGCCAGTGAATCTACAGCTCCTGCCAGTTGGTAAGAAATCGCACAAAGAATCAGGTAGAATAACTCTTGAGTCTCAGGGAAAAGAGATAATTGAAGGTGGTGGTGGTGTGTGTGTGGGGGGTAAGTCGACATGCAAGAGGATTTTTTAAAATGTCTTATTATTCTCTTCTGACAAAAATGGAACACTTCTAATCTTCATAAAAATTATTTCTAAAGTTGACACAGAAATTCTCTGGAGCATTCCTACCATAAAAAGAAAGTGATGGTGCTTTATTTTATACAGATAGTGTAACAATAGCAACGAATTTCCTCATTTTCCTTGTGGCCAGGGAGGAATATAACCTATTAGCAATTCTCAGGCATGCAGAGGGAAGATGAATTAAAAAAAAAAAAAAAGTGCTTTAAATAATAATAATTTTTAAAAAATTAATGGCATCTGTTATCCACGTGCAATGAAAGTTCCAAAAGGCCAAGAGGAGACCGACCATGCAAGACATGCAGCAGGAGCCTTGTTCTACATGGGGACTACTCACAGAGCAGCTCGAAAGCAACAGTGCTTTGGTATTTCTAGAACCAAGGTCCTGTGGATAATCCATGGCCCCAGTGCATCTCTGTATATACAGTGAATTAGTTCAGGAGACTGATAGCCAGAGATCACATGCTTGTTCCCTAACTGTACCACACATAACAGAAAACAATAAGTCAAGCATTTCCTGACTGACCCCTGTGTGCACCCATGAGGAGCCCAGAGTCTAGGCATGATTCTGTCCTGGTGGAAATCACAGGCTAGCCAAGGAAACAGTGATTACACAACAGCTACAAAACATGTAAGGTTTAAACAGTTGTGAGATTACTAATTCGGGTGGAAATAATTGTCTCTTTTATAATCCCAGTCTTTAGGAAAAATTTTTTAAATCAGACCTTGACCTAAGTGGGATTTACAGGATCATGGCAGTGGTTCTGGAAGACTTTGCCTACATTAGAATAGTCTGGAGAGCTAGTTTAAATACATATTGCTAGTATTGAATACAGTTTAAATACATATTACTCACACCCAGTTATTCTGATTCAGTATGTTGGGGCCTCAGAACCTGCATTTTGAACAAGTTTTAGGTGCTGCTGATGCTACTGGCCCATGACCCACACTTTGAGTAGCACTGATTTCCAGGATTTGGAAAGCAGAAAAAGAAGGCATGTTAAGTTGTGAAAACAATAACATGAGAACTATGAACTTGGAAAAATTCAGACACATTAAGAGGATAGCAAAACTATAATCTGAAAATGTCTAAACATGTTTTATTTGTTCATTAAATATTTGAGAGCTTACAATACGTCAGACACTATTCTAGGCACAAAGGATACAAGAGGAACATGATAGACAAGGTACCTGTTATCAGGGAGCTTACATTCAATAGGGAGTAGTCAAACAATAAAGATATCAGTGCACTGAAGATCCTTTCTGGTCAGTTATCTATGACAAGAGTAAAATAGGGAGAAGGGACTAGGGGACTAGGTGACTACCTCAGACAGGCTGGTGTGGGAAGTCAACATGTGAGCTGAATTGCATCAAGATTTAAAAAATGAGAAGTACAGGCGAAAGCAATGAGGAGAATAAAGATGTTAACAAGAGACAGGAAATGTGGGTGGATAAATAGGATGGAGTCACATCACAGGCTGTCTTCTCAGCATAAAGAGGAGTTTGGGCTTGACACAAATTAGAACTGTGAAGATAAAATAGTTGCTAATATGCTCACAAGAAAGGGCGAAATCCATGATTCTATAGCTATTGTTGTTGTTAGGTGCCGCTTAGTTGCTTCCGACTCATAGCAACCCCATGCACAGCAGAATGAAACACCACCTGATCCCGCACAGCTCCATGATCCTTGCTATACTTGAGCCCATTGTCACAGCCACCGTGTCAATCCATCTCATCAAAGGCCTTCCCCACTTTCATTGACCCTCCACCTTACCGAGCATGATATCCTTCTCCAGGGAATGGTCCCCTCTGACAACATGACCAAAGTAGGTGAGATAAAGTCTGGCCATCCTCGCTTCCAAGGAGCATCTCGGCTGCACTCCCTTCAGGACAGATCTGTTAGTTCTTTTGGCAGTCCATGGTACCTTCAGCATTCTTCGCTAGCACCACAACTCAAAAGCATCAACTCTTCTTTGATCTCCCTTATTCATTGTCCAGCTCTCACATGCATACCAGGCAACTGGAAATATCATGGCCTGTGTCAGGCACACCTTAGTCCTAAAGGAGACATCCTTGCTCCTCAGCACTTGAAAGAGTTCCTTTGCAGCCGATCTGCCCAGTGCTACACGTCATCTAATGTCCTGACTGCTGCTTCCATTGGCCTCGATTGTAGAACCAAGCAACATGAATTCTTTGACAATCTCAATCTTCTCTCCATTTATCGTGATGCTGCTTATTGGCCAGTTGTGATGATTTTTGTCTTCTTTATACTGAGATGTAAACCATACTGCAGACTGTGTTCCTCTATCTTCATCAGTAAGTGCCTCAAGTCATTCTCACTTTCAACAAGCAAAGTTGTATCATCAGAGTATCTCAGGTTGTTAATGATTCTTCCTCCAATTGTGATGCCACATTTTTCTTCATATAATCCAGCTTCTCAGAATGTTTGCTCAGCATATAGATTGAATAAGTATGGGGAAAGGATACAAGCCTGACACACTCCCTTCCTGATTTTAAACCATGAAGTGTCCCCTTGTTCCGTTTGAATGACAGCCTCCTGGTCACGGTACAGGTTCCTCATGAGTACAATCAAGTATTCAGGAATTCCCATTCTTCTCAATGTTATCCATAATTTGTCATGATCCACACAATCAAATGCCTTTGCATAGTCAATAAAGCACAAGTAAACATCTTTC